AAGAATGACAAACTTAATATAGTAGCCAGTAGGGAGTGAAGGGCAAAAAACAAGAAAAAAAATATGCCTTGTCTTGCAATATAATTGATATATAATTAATAATAATTATTGTTAGTTTTCTAGTTAAAATTGTATTATTACTATTGTATTATTTTAAAAACACTTTCTTCGATATTTTAATAAAATTGGGTAATTTTATTAAACATTTTAATTAGCTAGTTAATATCCCTGTATGGAATAATAAATGGTTAAAACAATATAGTTTCTTTTGAAACAGAATTCAATATTTATATTAACTATTAAGTAATGTTATCCTAATAAAATGATTAAAAACAGTTGTTGACAGGTCGATGGTTAGTCGATGGTAGTCCACAAGTTATATTGTTTGACATTGGTTCAGCTGCTTGGAAATTAGACCAATACAAGCAAACTTTATGGGATACGTGTAACATAGGAATTCCACATTTAGACATAGAAGCTAATGATGCTGTAATTTTGGGATATTTAATATCAGAATTCCTTTCAGAAGTAAGTATATACATGCAACATGCTTATTAAAATAATAGAAAGTAATATAGGTACTGTACTAATTTATAGGAGCCTTCCCCCATAAGTACTTATCTGGAAACATAGGCCTACGTCTAAAAATTTTCTGAAAGTTTCCTCAAAGGTTGTAAATCATTTCTGATGCATTACATTCCCTCCAAGTCTCAAAACGCTATTTGCACTTATGCATATAAGTGCATAATATATTATTTATCCTTATGTGTATATTTTCTAAACCTAGAAAAAAGGAAAACATTCAGTCATATTATTAAGTACATAAATAAATATTTAAATATATAATTGCATTTTCAGTTCCGGATGGCAGCAGCAACATACATTGATTCAACGCCATTGGTTGTTGCTCATTTCCATGAATGGCAAGCTGGMATAGGGTTGATAGCATTACGCACAAAAAAAGAACCTATTGCTACAGTATTTACAACTCATGCCACGTTATTAGGGCGATATCTCTGTGCTGGAAATACTGACTTTTACAATAATTTAGATAAAGTATGTGCATTTTCTTATACTATTATGTTTATTGTTCAAAACTTGATAAATGTATTACCTATATTATACTATATTAATGCGTTTAATTAATTACAAATAAATGGTTGTGTTTATTATTTTTTGTCTATACAAATATTTTAAGTAAAACTCAAGGTTAATATAGGTATTCTTTAGTTAGTTAATTTTTGATGTTCCTACTTTTACAGTTGTACTCTTATTAGAATAAAAATGATAAAATAAATATTCATCGGTATATTTTAATTATAATGTGACATAAAATGTTTTACGATTTTAAAATTAAATTAAATTATAAAATGTAAAATACAATTATACAATAATTTATTATCCATTTATATTTTAAGTGCATCAGTGTACATAATATAKATATAGATTCATAATAAGTATATAGAGTGTGATTACAATCTTTTCAATTCCTATTTTTGATAAACGAAAAAAAAACTATTTATATCAACGTTTTGTTTTATAGTTCAATCTCGATGAAGAAGCTGGTAAAAGACAAATTTATCATCGTTATTGCATGGAACGAGCTGCAGCACATGTTGCACACGTTTTTACCACAGTATCTGATATTACCGGAAAAGAATCCGAGTATTTACTCTCCCGTAAGCCTGATATTATAACTCCCAATGGATTAAACGTTGTCAAGTTTTCAGCATTGCACGAATTTCAAAACCTTCATTCGCTGTCCAAAGAGAAGATTCACGATTTTGTCCGCGGCCATTTCCATGGGTATCTATTATAAGAATAATATATTTACCATTAATATTAACTATAAATTTTAGGAATTTTAAAGATAT